GGGCCTCCCGAAAGGCTGGGGATTACAGCCATGAGCCACGGTGCCTGGCTGTCTGGTTTATTTTACCAGAGAGAAGAAAGCAATAGATACTTCTAGACAAGTAGAGTTAGTTTGAAAAGTTCTCTGTTTATGTAGTTAAAAAACTGCTGGCATTCATCTACAGTTATGAGAGACCAATATCTTGCGCTTGAGTTCGTAACTCAGCCGTTCTCTGCAGTGATCCCAAAGATCAAGTTATGGCCTGTTTCCTTTTCCCCACTCTAGTAGTGAACGGGTGCCATGAGATCCGCTGTCTCTTGTGTTTGCAGCCTGCAGACTCTTGGGGTCATGATACATAAATAAACTCTTCCTTGTGGTAGTTTTCCATTCGCTTGGAGAAGTTTCTTTTTAAAGCACCATTGGCTGACCTAAGAGTCCATGAGAAGAGAGAGTCTGGGAGATTCTGTTCCTTGGAGTAGATTTCGTGATCCCATTAAAGATCCAGCTGATTTGTGCTATTCCTGAGTGAGAAGGAGATGGAGGAAAGGAGGGGTTCTGTAGTACATTTACTTTTTCTAACCTACAGGAAATATCTATCGACATGCAGGTCTCAGTGTTAGGGTAAAATAGCCCAGGATTCTACTCTGGCCACTGCTGTACTAGGAACTGACAGTTCTGTGCCACAGATGTCAAGGTGGCCACGGTCCTTAGGATAATGTGTGGAACTGCCCTGGGGAGCCAAGATGACAGCAGGGTTTGGGGAATTTCAGCAGCGTAGGCGTGGTTACCTAGCTATCTACACGAACATGAAAGAACATCTCAGTTCTACTAAAAAAGGGAGTTGGGTGAAGTATAGTCTTATATGACCATATAATACAAATATTCCTGGTGTATATTACCAAGTCATAAGATTGACCTTTAAAAATTGTCTAGAATGCTAAATATTTAAACATTTTGTTCTTTTCTACTGTAAGTAGAAAGTAGTACATAAAACATCTTGCTACACATGGTTATGTTTTGTTTACAGGTTAAGTGGACCAAAAAATTTAACCTGGCAGAAGCAATGTAAAGATCATTATTGTGACTATTTGGACTTTGGAATCAACCTCACCCCTGAGTCACCTGAATCCAATTTCACAGCCAAGGTTACTGCTGTCAATAGTCTTGGAAGCTCCTCTTCATTTCCATCCACATTCACATTCTTGGACATAGGTACATTTTATTTCACTATTTCACTGGTTCTTTATAATTATTTTTAAAATCATTCAAATTTTTTTTATGGTTGTTTCAAGAAAGACAGAGATTGATGGAAACTGGCCAACAGGCATAGGCAAAAGATAGAAATTACTTTGATGCAAGTCAAAGGGTGCGTGATTCTAGAGCTGTATAAAGATGGCTATACAAAGTGGGATGTTCAACATTATTCTCTCTGTTGGAGAAATTAGTCCCTGGATTCAAATCCCATGAAAGAATCAGCTACTAATGATACCACCTCACTGAGGAGAGGGTCCTGTGGGGTCATTCAAGATGCTCAGTGCAAGCCCTTCTTGGAGGAGGTGTCCTTTCACCCCCGTGGCTACTCTCATTGTTGTGAGATAGGCTACATGTGGGCCTGCTAGGTTAGAGCAGCGAGGTACAAACTATGAATAAGATTTCTCAAGCCACAGGTGCATCTTGCTCTGAGAATACTTACCTCCAACCCTGGAGTGAGCCAGTACATTCCTGAGCAAATGTAATTGGTCCAGTTGAATCAGAGGCCAATCTCAGGCATTCCAAGTTCTGACCATCCAGGCAGAATTGGGCTGCCTGAAGTTCCAACCTCACACTATGTGCTTCTCGCCTCTCTTTCCATGGCACTTCTTTGCATACATACTGCTAACGATGAGTCTGATCATTGGCATTTACTATACACTTTTCCACCACGTTTGTTCTCAGGCTTCCTCCCATTTTTTTTCATACACCATTGATCTCTAGGCTACCTTCTCGCCCCCTGTTCTTTTCCTCTGTCCCTTTGCTATGAATGTTCCTACCAACATTTCTTCTCTTCCTGAGGCAATCATCACTAGCCACCTCTGCTTCTCAGTCATTGGAACTCTTGAGTTTGGCACATTGGTTTTTAAAAAACCATTGGATTAAGTGGAGTTGAAACTTACCACTAACGTTGGTAGTAGTTATTTGGTGAAAATGAGATTTGATTAGGGGGGATTATTTTAAAGATTCAGAAGTGAATCCAGCTTTTAAAAAAATTCTTTCTTAAAGCCTGGAACTTTTCCCTTGTATATTTTACCAAATTTGATGGTTGTGCATCTCAGAACTGAGTTTTGTCAAACTCTTTATAGCTCATGCCAGTACATAAGACAATTGCTGATCACGGATCCTGAACCACACTTTTTTGTTTGTCCTGTTTACTAGTGAGGCCTCTTCCTCCGTGGGACATTAGAATCAAATTTCAAAAGGCTTCCTCCGTGAGCAGATGCACCCTTTATTGGAGAGATGAGGGACTGGTACTGCTTAATCGACTCAGATATCGGCCCAGTAACAGCAGGCTCTGGAATATGGTAATGATCTTTAGAGTGAAGGAAAAAACATTGAAGGGTTCTTAATATTGCTGCATAGACCTCTGTCTTTTCATACAGCAAAATATAGAGTTTAAGAATATTTATCCCAAAGTACACACTTGAGAACTATCAGAAAGTCACGTACGCCTCTGTTGATTAAGAAATATCTTGAATTTTGATCTCTAATTCTGAAATTTTTAAAGCTTTTGTAAACCAATATTAATTTTCTATAGTTTGTTTCTAACAGAGGATTCATTTCTCCTTATTATTTACCCCCGTCCTATTATTACTTTCTAGCATTTAAAAAAGATTGAAAAGAGAAATATTAAGAAATGTCCACAGAGATTTATATAGAATTTAATATTCCAAAGAAAAGGTCTACAATTTAATATAATATTAGGCATTACATGTTTTAAAATAAAATGTATGGGATTATGATTCTTTCCAGGATTGTTGTAAAATTCAATGGCTTATAATAACAAAAGATCAGTTCCACAGATAGCTGATATTCAAGAGAGTATAACTAATTAAAGCGTTTTTTTAAAAAAAGCCAGTTCTATGTTTGTGTTAAAACATTCATCACATTCTAATTGTAATCAAATAAAAAATAATCTCTAGTGTAGAAACTTCTCCAAGGTGTTTTGACACTTCATAGTTTTCAATCTTTACTTGTTTTTCAGCTGGTTTCAGGATCCCCCTCGAGAACCTACATAGATGGGTTCTTAGTCCCGGGAGATTTTATTTTATTTTTAATAAGAAGCTATATTTCAGATTAATATCATATCTATTCGGTAAGACAGTCATTGATATTTCTTCTCATTTAACGGTAGGTCTGAAAAACAAGTAGGATCAAACAGCCTGGGGTTTTTTCTCATTTTGTGTTAAAATTCTTTAAATTAGCAATCTAGTATTAATAGGCACTTTAAAAAAATGTCTGTTTCAAGGTTAATGTTACAGAGGCCAGAGGAAGACATGATTTGCTGGATCTGAAACCATTTACAGAATATGAATTTCAGATTTCCTCTAAGCTACATCTTTATAAGGGAAGTTGGAGTGATTGGAGTGAAACATTGAGAGCACAAACACCAGAAGAAGGTATGTGTCCAAAATATACATACATATCGGGGAGGAATAAAGGGGAGAGAGGGGGAAGATGTAACGATTTCCTTGGAATAGAATCTTTAAAGTACTGGTGCTGAATCAAAAAGTATGACTACATTAGTTAACAACTTAATTTTTATATTAACTTAAGTGCTGAAACTGTTCAAGGAAATATGTTTTTATCGCTAGGACATTTTTAACATTGGGTGAGTTCTACTCCTGTTTGCTATCAGTCATGTTGGTTATAATGCTTGGTTGTAACTCTTATCTCTCTTACTATCTCAGTAACTTATTTCACAGAGCTATAACCAGTAATTAATCTCATTTCTTGTTAAAGCTTCATATATTTTATATTTTTGATTCGATGAAAAGTAATGTGGCTCAATAAGCTATATGAAAACTTGAAAGAAAGTAGGCTCTGGAGACACATATTTCAAAATAAAATTTAGCATCCAGCAATCCTCTCTTTGTCCAAATATTATAATACTGTACTTCAAGCCTTTGGTATTTACTGCACAGATGAGCACCACCTGGCCACCTATAGCTATGAAAAGGATATCAAATGTGTTTTTCAGTCTGATGAATTTTTATTTTTTAGTAATTATTGGGAAGGGAATGTTACTGAAGTATAAGAAAATATTTTATTGAAGCAAAAATGCCTATGTAAACTTTATACCAATATTAAATCTTTGGAGAGACAAGAAATAGCTGTCTGAATATTAGTTTTTAAAAGCACTCATTTATGTTGGGCACCGTGGCTCACGCCTGTAATCCCAGCACTTTGGGAGGCTGAGGCGGGTGGATCATGAGGTCAGGAGTTCGAGACTAGCCTGGCCATCATGGTGAAATCCCATCTGTACTAAAAATACAAAAAATTAGCCCAGCATCGTGGCACATGCCTGTAATCCCACCTACTCAGGAGGCTAAGGCAGGAGAATCACTTAAACCTGGCAGGCAAAGGTTGCAATAAGCCAAGATTGTGCCACTGCAATCCAGCCTGGGCAACAGATGAAGACTCCATCTCATAAATAAATAAATAAATAAATGCCCTCATTTAATGATATAGTAGAGAGCCTTTCATAATTCATATAAATATGACTCAGAGGAAAACTTTTTGGCATATAATCCATTGTTCATTATCTGGAACTTTTGTAACATTAACGTGCAAAATCTAAATTCTTACTTGGGAAATTTATGGATGCATGTAAACTAGCCTCGTAATTAAGTTGCATTTATTTTCTGTGAGCTACTAATGGCTTTTGATAACTGATGATCCTTAGCAATCATACATCAATGACATTCAAGGAACTGAAGGATCTTTAGCAGAATGTAATACCTAATATGTGATTCGTAGAATAATCTTATATCTTCTTTATTTCTTGTATTAATTTCATTTTTTTTAAATTTTTTTTTTTGAGACAGAGTCTTGCTCTGTCGCCCAGGCTAGAGTGCAGTGGCACAGTCTCGGCTCACCGCAACCTCTGCCTCCTGTGTTCCAGTGATTCTCCTGCCTCAGCCTCCCAAGGAGCTGGGATTACATGTGTGTGCCACCACGCCCGGCTAATTTTTGTTATTTTCAGTAGAGACGGGTTTCACCATGTTGGCCAGGCTGGTCTCTAACTTTTGACCTCAGGTGATCCACCTGCCTCGGTCTCCCAAAGTGCTGGGATTACAGAACATATTTTAAAAGTTGTCTAAAAGTGAATTTATCCAACAAATGATAATTTATTAGCACTCATTTTATAATAAAATCTCTTAAATTAACATTGAAACACTTGCCCTCTGGTTGTCACTTTTATAATCCAGAACTTACTTATAATATCCTTTTATTATACATAGTCGAAATAATTGTTTTAAAGACTATCTCATGAATTAGATTTTGTTTATATATGTGGTACAGAAAAAATTTTTGAAAATGGGCTATATTTTATGTCCCAGTTCAAGGTAGTAAATAGTCTGGGAAATATTTAAGTCACATCACGTTAAGCTAAACTATAAACTAGGGAAACACTGGGCTTGTGAATTCTTGCCATTCTTATTCACATATGATAATGACCTCGTTAGAGATGTGTGAAAAGTTTTTTCTTTTCTTTTTAAAAGAGTGTTTGTCTTTTGAATTAAAATTCCTTCAAGGCAGCACAGTGGCTCTCATTTCCTATAAAATAAACCACCATCATAACAGTGAGTATAGCAACTCATTATGGTTATGAACTCATGGATGATTATGAATTGAACCTAGGAAGCTGGCTTATGCAGTCACTGAAGATATTCATAAGGAGAGAAACCCATACTCTGAGATACACCGCCTTTACCAAGCTCTGTTGGCTTCCTTTCTATCTCTGAATCTCCCTTTTCTATGTTTGATTTTTCTGTGGGTTGTTGTAGGTCTTTTTTCTCTTTCTCTAGGCTGCTTGGTTTTCACCCCTTACCCGCTGTTTCTGTCATCAGTTTCTTTATGAAACACCAACTGATGTAAACCTAAAAGGTGTGAATTTTTTTTTAACACGTCTTCCTTTTAACCCTTTCAATGTGTACTCATATGTAGCTTGACATTTAAAAAAAATTACTAGTAAGCTTTTTTTTTTTTTTTTAGGTACTCTCTAAAAGTGTGAATGATTCTGTAACAGAGCTCTTTTTTTTGCAGCCTTTGCTTCTCAAAATTGAGAGGAATGTAATGTCTGCAGGTGGATTGGGTGCAGTTGTTTATATCATTTGAACAGTGGGTGAGGGCTTCCTTTACTCCATAGGGCCCTTTCTTATGTCATTAAATTCAGATCCTATCACTGAAAAACACTTTTTAAATGACCGCAAAATAAGGGGTAGGAGGAAAGAAACTACTTTGCTGTGTTTAAGAGAATAGTCTTGAAATCAGCATCCATCAAAAGCAAGCCTGATAGTGACACTGGGAAGAAAGTAGCCACATTTTCCTTCTAGTGGGAAAACATTCTTGAATTTGGGCTCAAGGTGCCGAGACATGCCTGAGAATATGCACAGGTATTGAGGTAAGGTGATCTCTCACCACTTAGAACACCCAGGAAGAGATGCCAAAATACTGATGAATCAGCTGTTCCTTAATGCTCTCTTACCGATATGTGTCTCTGTGTGTTCATTCACCATTTAAAAAAGTCTTATTTGCAGTTTGTGATCTTGCTCAACTCCTTACAGCCAACAAAAGAAGCGTTGCATATTTATTCATACTTGGGGCGGGGAGCAGAGTGGTAAAGGAGAAACCTTTCCCCATCATGGTGGCAGCAAGGGTGAGGGGTGAAGAATCCCTGAAGGGGGAGAAAATGAAGAGTTACCAGCTGCAGCCTCCTTTTCCCACATTGAGAAGCTAGGAAATTCATGCACTCATTTGTAATTTTAAAATATTGCCAAGATAAGGTAGGTGTGAACAATGAAATACTAGAGGCTATTTTAGATAGCAAACATTTGATAACAGTCAAGTGTGGAGGATTGGCAATTTTCTCTACAGGTTCAGATAGTAAATATTTTCAGCTTTGCGGATCATACGATCTGTCACAATTACTAAATGTGCTATTGTCACATGCAAGCAGCCACTGACAATACCTAAACAAACAGGCATGGCTGTGTTCCAAATAAACTTTATTTATGTATGCTGAAATTGGAATTTTGTGTAATCTTCACATGGCACTAAAAAGAATTCTTCTTTTGATATCTTTTCAACCAATATCAAAACCATTTGCTTACAGGATGTATTAAAACAGGCAGAGGGCCAGATTTGGCCCCATGGGCCATAGTTTGCTGATCCCTAAGCTAGCTATACTTGAAAGCATCATATTTGTGTCTTTTTGCCTGAGACTTGAGAATGAATTATTATTTTCTCTCTAAAGAGATTTATATCAGACACTTTCACTAACAGGAAAGTGTTATGTTTGAGATTCCGTAACAGTCCCTAAACCCTTCTCTCCTTCACTTGTTCTCCTCTAAGCTCAACACTTATCTTGGAAGGAAGGAATGACAATTCAGAACTCTTTTCAGGAAGTTATATGAAGAAGAGCAGAGATATCAAACAATCCTTTGTTGCTTTTGTTTTTAGGATCTGAGATAATACAGTGTATTTGCAAGGGGATGAAAAGGGTCCAGCAGGGAAGGAGAAATTAATGACACAGGGAAGGTGGGGATAATGGCTGGAGAGATGTCTTTGATAAAGCAAGAGGGAGTGGGGTCCAGAACTCTAGCTAAGAGTTGGACCGTGATGGAAGTGGGGATGATTCATCCACCAGGACGTCAGTAGCAGTGCTGTGCTAGGGAATTGATTGGGGGAGTTTGAACGTTTTCATGGTGCAAAGAGGAGGGAATTTCCATCTGATTTCTTCCTTTTGCTTTTTCATATTGGTAGCTTCTTCCACTTTAACCCTACAGTTTTTTCCTTTACAGACAAAGTAGTTTCATCTGACTTCCACTTCTCATATTTATATGTTTAGTCATTTGTACCCATTTCTTTTGAAATCACTTGAACATATTGGCCTTTGTCTTTTTTTTTTTTTCTCATGTGCCTGTAATAGTTTTATCTGTATTTCGCTAGATAACATTGAGGTTAGAACTTTCAGTGATTCTGTGACACTTGAATGTCAAAGATTCTCCTCACTATTAGCCCTTGTGTTGCTTTAAGCAGCATGATTTACACCCGGGTCATGAAATGTTACACTTTGAGACTCATGCAGATTCAACTAATGATTTCTCTCCTATGGAGGTATACACTGCAGGTGGGCAACATTAACGTTTCAGTTTACTTGCAATTTACCTTGTGAAAAGAGTAGAATTCTAGAATTTGATTCTTAGCTCTGTAATAATCTGTTAGGTTGTGGATTTTTAATGAGTCAGTGAGTGTCGCCTTTAGATTTCTTACCAATATGTAATTAACTGAAGACATATACTGCTGTGGTACAAGTCAACTGGCTTTGACACTGAGCACACCCAGGTTTCCAAACCCTGATTCTGCAAATATCCAGATTATCTAGTTTGTGGAGTATTCAGATCTTGGTCAATGTAGTGAACTGTAATGGGAAAAGCAGAGTATTCAGGGAAAGCGAGACCTGGCTTCAGTCCTCAGCTTTGCCATTTACTAGACCCAAGTCTTTTGTAAATCATTTCACTTTTGCCAGCCTCCTTGTCCTCAAGTATAAAGCAGGTGTAATCATATGCACCCTTGCATTGTGTGAGGGTTAAATGAGATGATGTATATAAAGTGTCCAGACACCACCTGACAGTAGGTGGTTAGTGAATGTCACATCCCCTTTCCTTTGTTGCCTGTGCTTTTTTTCTTTTTGCATCTAAGCTAGCAGATAGAAGTCCCAGGTTTGATTCCTGGGCCACTCTTCATATTCCTGGAGAATTAAGAGCATTTTCAAAATGTTTTACATAAGCATTTCTTACCTCTAAGTCTGCAAAGGTAAATACTACCACTACTGGAAAGGAGAGGAAAGAAAAGAAGTGAATGTTTAGAGAAAAAGCAAAAAAGAAAGTAGAACAAGAGAGGCAGGAAAAGGAAGTGACAAAGGAAGAGGATAGAACAAAAAGAAGGCCCACCTGACCGGGGATGGAAGTACCACAGAGAAACCATCAGCTTTCTCAGAGCCAGGCCACCTGCACATTGCAGAGCCAAGGCTTTGGGATAAAACAGATTTGTGTTTAAAGCCTGGCATCTCTGATGATTAGTTCTGGGACCTTAAGCAAGATCCTTAACCTTTCAGCACTTCCGTTTTCAAATGCGGGAAACCACAAGAGCTACTCTTGCTGAGCACTCACCACGTGTCAGCACGCTCCACTGAAATTCCCACTCTGCCCCGTGTGATGTGTGGAATTATCACCCTCATCTGACAGATGAGGGAGCTAGCCGAAGGATGTGGTTAGCATTTGTTCAAAGTCACAGAGCTGGGCTTACCCTGCAGACCTGGCTCTGAAGCTCACGCTGACTACTGCACTGAAGCTGCATCATGGGTTTGAGGAGGACGGGAGATGGAGCTGTGGATGGACCCACACAGCACCTGCCCTCTATGTGCGGGTACTTATGTTGCCTTTCTCTTTTGCTCTTCTCTTATCTCCTGTTATCCAGGTGGTGGGACTTAATTTTCTGGAAATTTCCGTCTGGTTAGATAGAACTTTCTAACCTAGAAAAAACCCCAGTGCAGCCTCCCCTCAAATACACTCTAAGTTTCACTGTTGAGGAAATTAGCTTGGTGCAGCTGAAGCCTGTTTTCAGGAGTTGTTGTTTCTATTGGTTCCACTCCTGGCTATAAATCAAAACAAATCTAAGTGACTTGATAGTAGGGAAAACAAAATGACTTCACTCACTCATGTGAGCATGAACTCATGCACACACACACTCACACTCACACATACACACAGGAGTTGATTATTTAGTCTTTTTGCAATATGTTTGGTTGAAATTAAATTGGGCCATATTTGACCATTGTCTTACAGATTGGTGGTTATTTATTTAATCAGTTCAGCCTGTGTTTTGGCATTAAATAGATAATATCACATGATTTGTTCATTCATTATTTAACAATTATTAGGAGCCTATTATATTCTAAGTGCTGTGCTGGGTATGTGGCATATTAAATGAGATACGACTTCCCTTTAAGTAGATCATTGTCTAATGATCACAAACCAAATAATTATACTATAGCATGATTAGTCTAGGAATGGAGATGAACACAAGGTTTGTCATTTATATTAGTGTATTTTTACAAACCAAAAAGTGTTTTTCTATATGAGTTATATCTTCTCTGTTGAGAATTCTTTCTGCATTCTAGTAAAAAAAAAAAAAAAAAAAAGAACCACATAAACTTTATTTTTGTTTTTATTTTTTTGCTCTGTCTTATGGTGCTAAAGCCACATGTACTTTCCTTGGGTTATTTTAATAACACGTTTTAAGAGTAAGTTAAGGCTGGGTGCGGTGGCTCCTGCCTATGTAATCCTAGCACTTTGGGAGGCCAAGGTGGGTGGATTGCTTGAGCTCAGGAGTTCGAGACCAGCCTAGGCAAAATGATGAAATCCTGTCTGTACAAAAAATACAGAAATTAGCCAGGCCTGGTGGCGCCATCTGTAATCCCAACTATGCAAGAGGCTGAGGCAGGAAGATTGCTTGAGCCTAGGAGGTGGAGGTTGCAGTGAGCCGAGATCGTGCCACTGCATTCCAGCCTGGGCAACAGAGTGAGATCCTGTCTAAAAAAAAAAAAAAAGAGTAAGTTAAGAAACAAATTACTCACCATTTTTTTTTAAATTTGTTTTTAAGGTAACCTTGTTTTTCTAACTTTTTGGCCAAAGATACATATGTTCATTGTTAAACAAGAAAAAAAAAAAAATACTGGGACAGACACAAATAATTGCAGTTATCCTTTAATTCTACTCTTCCAGAATCGTTTGCTGAATGACCAGCTAACTTTCAAAGCTTTTCTACTGAGTAAATATATGAAAATACGTCTTTTTTTCTCCTTTCAAACAGAGCCTACTGGGATGTTAGATGTCTGGTACATGAAACGACACATTGACTACAGTAGACAACAGATTTCTCTTTTCTGGAAGGTAAGTTTTAAGTGTCAACTTAAAACTCAAGGGAATAATATTGGTTTCAAGGCAGAAAAAGACCTATTTGCATAGTGGCTTTTATATGAGGCTTCAGTGACTTTGCTAGAGCTCATTTTCTCAGACATATTCATGACACACCACAGTGTCATGTGCCTTTGGTGGATAGGGGTGAGAGCTGAGTTCCTTCTTCCACACAGTCACATCATTTCAGTCTGCTTCCTATGAGATCAAGGTCTCTTTCCATCCCTGGCATTTCCACCCTCTGACCCCAACTGCATCATCTCTTCTGACTGTTGTCGCCTTTCTGCCCACCCCCATCTCTCCTACATAAATATGTCCAGCAGTGACCATGTCACTTCACTGATTCACTCTTTGGGAAACAAAAGATGAAAAAGCTGTGGATGTGGATATTTAATAATGTTTTTTAGGTCATTGAAGAGGGAGAAGGAGGAAAGAAAGCTGCCCTACTTTAGGAATAGTAATAGTGGTAGAAAATAATACAAACAGGCCAGGTGCACTGGCTCACGCCTGTAATCCCAGCACTTTGGGAGGCCAAGGCAGGCAGGTCACTTGAGGTCAGCGGTTAGAGACCAGTCTGGCCAGCATGGCGAAACCCCGTCTCTACTGAAAATATAAAAATTAGCCGGGCATGGTGGCATGCACTTGTAATCCCAGTTACTGGGGAGGCTGAGGCATAAGAATCCCTTGAACCCGGGAGGCAGGGGTTGCAGTGAGCCGAGATCATGTCACTGCACTCGAGCCTGGGTGACAGAGCAAGACTCCATTTCAAAAAAAAAAAAAAGAAAAAAAGAAAATCATACAAACAGGAATGGAAAGCAGCCCTTCCTCAGGAATGGTAGTAAAACAGTAGTAAATTAGACAACTTTCCAGAAAACAGTGAAGCCTGACATTATCATAGAATGTGAAAGTTTCACAAAGCACTGAAAGCTGGCATTGCCATTTTATTTAATCCTCACAAAAACCCCCTGAGGTAAGTACTGGTATACCCACTTACCAGTAAATGAGAAAACAAATGAATGAATGAATGAAAAAATGAGTATCAGAGAGAGGAAAGAGAGGAAGTTCTTGCCCAAAGTCACCCAGCTACTAAGCGCAGACCCGAGACTGAAACCTTATCCAGAACTGCTGCATCGTGACTCATCTTTGTTGAAGGGAAATGCTGTGCGATTCGAATTGAGCTACTGATTGGCATACTCATAAGAGGTTTCCAGGTGAACTGCACTCTTTATTTCTCAGAACTCACATCCTCTTCACTACAGCTCTTCCAATTAAGGATAGGAAGTTTTGGAATTATGAATCTGAATGAGCACAAAACCAGAAGAATAAGAATAACAATTATAAAGTCCTCTGATGGGGCTCACATGATGGGTTTTGATCACTGCACTCTTCTTTGGCTTTAAGAAATGAGTTATTTCTTCTTCTTTCTCCTCCCGGTCTCTCTCATACATACATAAAATGTCTGGTATAAGAGGAGACTACTATAAATAGCCTGGTGAATCATGATCAAGCTCTTCACTTTGAAACCAACACGGCAGCTCAAAATTTATTTTGAAATGAATCTACTTTTAATAGCAAGACAATTCTCAAAGCAGGACATTTAGAACAGTCATAATTTGTGAATATTATAGAAGAACCCAGCCCAATTTATTTCCTTTTCACGAGCAAGTGACTAGTTAAAACCAAAATTCCTCCTCTCATGTAAAGGTTTCTCCTCCAAAAATGTCCTCAACAGTGATCTGGAAAGATAATGCTACGTGTTAATCTATTCCATGCCTCTCAACTCAAGGGTTTCTCTCAGTAGAATGAGGGTAATGATACCAGTATCTGCAAAGCTGACAAGACCATTGTGGGGATCAGCAAATGAGAGGACACAAATGTAAAAATCATGAGGGCCACTAGTGTAAAATTCAACGGTGCTGCATGATGCATGTTTATCCTAATGGTGAAAGCTCCATGCCTGCATGCTTCTCACTGTAACAGAGTTTATAGTGGACATCATCATGGTTCTCTGAAAACAGCACCAGAGTGAAGTCAAAATAAGTATGGGTTGGCCACGAGTGATGCTTGGTAAATGTGAGTATGCGATTTCTTCTCTGCTGCCTTGATTTTATTTCTATCTTCACAAGGTTTAGGTTCTGTAATGAGGTCTTAGAATTTGGAGGGACTTCAAAGCTCTTCTAGTTCAGCCTTACTTTCATTATAAACATGGTTCCTACTCCTGCCAGGACAGGCAGATGTCTCAGTGGGGACATTCTGGGACAGGAAGAATCTCACTTTGTAGTCTGCCCATGCCATGGTTGAACATCTCTTATTGTTTAGAAAATGCTTCCTTTTGTGTAGACAGAACTGTGGGCCCAAGAAGGATGCTTGGAGTTGTTACTGGCTTATAATAAGAAACCAAAAAGGGCCAGGCGCAGTGGCTCACACCCATAATCCCAGCACTTTGGGAGGTCGGGGTGGGCAGATCACTTAAGTCCAGGAGTTCGAGACCATCCTGGCCAACATGGTGAAACCCTGTTTCTACCAAAATACAAAAAAATTAGCTGGGCGTGGTGATGCCCACCTGTAATCTCAGCTACTTGGGAGAATGAAGCAGGAGAATCTCTTGAACCTGGGAGGCAGAGGTTACAGTGAGCTGAGATCATGCCACAGTACTCCAGCCTGGGTGACAGAGCAAGACAAAGAAGGAAGGAAGGAAGGGAGGGAGGGAGGGAGGGAGGGAAGGAAGAAGGAAAGAGAGAAAGAAGAAAGAAAGAAGAAAGAAGGGAAAGAAAAAGAAAGAAAAAGAAAGAAAGGAAAGAAAGAAAGAAAGAGAGAGAGAAAGAAAGAAAGAGAGAAAAAGAAAGGGCAAAAAGGTAAGCACTAGAAGCTTCTATAACTTGATGTCAGATGGTGGTCATCACAAGCCAACCTCAAAACCTTCAGTGACTCTCTAGTCTAAGAGGCTCCCCAAGGAAAGTTGGATCCAGTCCTAAACTGTCACAGGTTAAGTCCTTTTCTGTCAAACCTGGGCTTCTTTAATGGCCCCGAACAGGCGACTCAACTAGGGGTGGGAATGGAAACACTGACCAGAGTTACTGAGCAGCCCTGCTTAGGACCACAGAACCACAGAGTTATAGACCTCTAGAGCCAAAGGGATTTAACTGTCATATAGTCTCACCCCACAGTTTAAAACATGGAAACTGAGGTTTCAAGAGGTGATGTCCAGTGAGGGGATTTCAGGTGATTTGAGTTCGCTCTTATCCCAGCCTCTAACAGGGATACCTCATGCCACTCTCAGGCAGGCTTGGGAATTCAAGGGAATGCCATGGTACAAGGGACTCATCTAAGTGTCAGGCTAGAAGGAAAACTCTGCAGCCAGATCGCTTTGTGACAGGGCCCAAGTCATACCTCACTGGGGAAAGGGAGCAAGGGCGTGTGTGGTGGTTTTTTTTTTTTTTTTCCTTTGAGCAACTCTGGGAAACCAAATGCAAGAAACACCCACCACTGCAAAGAAGGAAATTTCATGCATTGGCATCAAAGGAAGCCCCAAGTAAAACCCCATTTGTCTGTGAATAAAGTGAGAGCACATTTCTCTTGCATATGAAGAAATGTGAGATGGCCTTTCACTTTTGTAGGATGTTTACATTAGAGGAGAACAACTCCGTGCTGGTCGCCCCTGGGGGTTGGGGTGAGAGTATGTGTGTGAGTGTGGGTGTGAATGCATGTGAGTGTAAGGATGTGTGTGAGTGTGTGGAAGGTGTGGGAGTGTGGGCATATGTGAGTAGGGTGTGAATGTGTAGGTATGTGAGTATGTGTGTATGAATGGGAGCATGTGTCAGTGTGTGAGGATGCTGGTGAAGGAGACCTTTGCTTTGTTATGGTTTGTCACTTCTTTGCCCATGCCTTAGTTTCTCCCGAAAGTACCATTTCCTCAAAAATATCTTGTGCTACTTTTTTAAATCATAGTTTTTTTTTTGGTTTTTGGTTTTTGTTTTTTGAGACAGAGTCTCATTCTGTGCCCCAGGCTAAAGTGCGGTGGCACAGTCTCAGCTCACTACAGCCTTCACCTCCTGTTCTCAAGTGATCCTCCCACCTCAGCCTCCCAAGTAGCTGAGACTACAGGCATGCATCACCACGCCCAGCTAATTTTTGTTTGTCACAGAGACAGGGTTTCACTGTGTTGCCCAGGCTGGTCATGAACTCCTGGGTTCAAGTAATCTGCCCACCTCAACCTCCCAAAATGCTGGGACTACAGGCATGAGCCACCACACCTGGCCCATAGCTATTTTTGAGAGGAAAAATACTTTCAATGTTGAAGCCAAAAAGTAAAGCCTAATCTATGAAATGAAACAAAAACACCTGGGTATTGTTAAAACCATAAATGCAATAAAGGTAAAAAATGTTGCTTGATTACAAACAGCCCCAGGGTTGGATTAGGCCCCTTTACTTAAGGGGGCTTTTAGCAATCCTCTCCCTCAAACTTCCTTTCTCCTCTCCTTCTGTACTGTTTTACATTGTATCCTTTCCTTAATTATCTCAATCCATGATTCCCATATACTTCTTTTCTAGTTAAAACAGCATGTATATTTTTAGAAGAAAACCACCTTTCATATATATATGAAAAAGACATGAGAACCAGGTAAAGCCACATTAGCCTTTCTAGTTTCCTCTCTTACTTTCTTTAGCGTCCTCTCGTTATCCTGATATCTTGTTTCAAAACAAACTTTTGAAATTCGTTTGAGGCTGTGAGTCTGGAAGAGAAATACTCATGTTAAGCTCATTCCTTCACTCAAAGAAATATGTGAAAGCTCCTCTTTAGTATCAGACACTGTACTGCATAGCTGGGATGTGAAAGTGAACAAGACAAATCCAGTCCTCATGTCCTGGAGCTCAGAGTCCAGCAAGAGGACAGGAGTAGGAGCAGGATGCTGAGGACACTTGGGTGTTAGGGAGCAGTTCCAGGTTCAGCTGGAGAGATGATGGTTGAGCTCGCC